AGTTTCTCTTGTGGTCAACCTTGAACTGGAACCATGTAGGGAAAGGGATTCTGGGAAAGGTAGTTCAGTGTAGAGTAAATTGATAGGCTACAAAGCTACTGGATTCTACTGTCAGCTTAACATTCACAAACACTTCTGTTAACTATGCTTAACTGCAGATGAAGATAAGATCAAAATCATGCTTCTACTTCACATAACACCATCTTTCATGGAACTGACAACGCTATCACTCTCTTAAGAGAGGATATAAGGTCCCTTTATCTATCTCTGGATATTCATTCTTTTTCCCCCGAGTCACACGCTCCTTTGATATCTTGTTACTTAATTCTATTCTGGTTATTTGCTGAACAATAAACCAATTAAAACCTACAGCCATTAAAATAACCATCACAGAATTTGTGTGGCAGGAATTTGAAGAGGGCACAGCAAGGATGGTTCGTCTGAGCTCCATAATGCCTGTGTTGGGATCAAACAGCAGGAGTGGGAACAGTGGGGGTCAGAATCCACTGTCAAGATGGCTCTTCACTCTCATTTCCGAAATCTGATTTATGTGGCTCAAGGCAGCCTCATCTGGAATGATCAACTGGAGGCTCTGCATGCAGCCTATACTGCATCTTAGAACAGCTGGGCCACTAACAAGGATGCTCAGAGATCCAAAGTGAGTTTTTCAGCTAACAAGGTAGAAATCGTATGGTTGTTTATGATACAGCTTTGGAACTTGCAGCCCATACTGCATCTTAGAACAGCTGGGCCACTAATAAGGATGCTCAGAGATCCAAAGTGAGTTTTCTAGCAAACAAGGTAGAAACCGTATGGTTGTTTATGATACAGCTTTGGAACTTACCTAGTGTAGAAGCTTGAAAGGGCACAGGAGTTTGGAAGTCACCAACTCGTTGAAGAAATTACAGACCTCCTAGATCAAGGGGAGAGAATATAAACTCCCCTTTGATGGGTAGATGATCACAAAATTTAAGGCCATGTTTCAAAATCACTACCTGGAGCTTTGTCTGGACTATCACGCTTATATGCAATATCGGCTAGTGCACCTGTGGGCCATTCTTGAGCACAATTTTGAATGCTCTTCATTTCTCATGTGAATAAACCGATGAGAGGACTGCCTATGAGAATATCACTTTGCCTTCCTTTCCGTGTGTCACTAGGTTTCGTAAAAACCCACCCACTTGTCAAGGTTAAGCTCACATTCCAATTTTTCTAAAATTTACCAGGAAGGAATCCCTCACTGATAATGACTGGGCTTGAGACCCTGGTCTAACCACTTATCTTGTGGCATACAGGATTCTTAATGGCTTCAGCTGACAATAACGAGAGGAATGGTCAACTAGTCAATGAATAATGATATGAAAGTGTTTTGGGCTAATTCATGAAGCTGAGAAACTCATTTGATTTTGAATTAAAGAACAATTTTGGCCAAAATATTGTTCTACCTTAAAAAAAGTTTAAGAATTAGCATAGTTAAAGAAAAAGAAAAATAAATGATTGGCAAACATCTCACTTCAGAAAAAAGCTGAAAGTTTTGGACTATGCCTAACTGACAGGAGTGGTTTATAACTTAACTGGTTGTACTTTGGTAGGTGCCTATCTTCAGCCCATAATAAATGCTTTCTTCTTCTGAAGAATAAGATCAGTTATCAGCTGAACCACAAGTGATTTCATAAGTACGTCCTGAGAGTCTCTTTGTATTTTTGGGAAAGGGTCTTGCTATGTAGCTCAGGCTGGTCTTCAACTCACAATAGAGCTGAGGCTGGCCTTCAACTTGTAGTGACCCTCCTGCCTCAGCCTCCCAAGTGCTGCAGTACAGGTGTGCCCTACCACGCCTGGCTGGACTGAGTGCCTTCTGTGACTCAGGTACTACTGTTCTATGTTGTTCAGGAGCACAAAGGAGAACAGACACAGCCTTTGACTTCATGGGTTAGTGAGCAGAAAAAGAAAACTTATGTACTGAAAACTTATGTATAATGACAAGGGGGAGTGTGGTTAAGGGAGTCCAAGAAAAAGCACTCGGTCATAAAGAAATTTATTTCACCTTGGGGCTCTTGTTTTAATTTTTTCCAATGTAACTATAAGCTCCTTGAAAGCAGAGATCACCTTTTATTTGTCTGGCTACCCTCACCCCAGCACCCAGCTTAGTGACACATCTACAACAATCCACCCCTAAATTTTTGCTAGTAGCTTGACTGATAAATGAAATGAGGCTACAGAGGTACAAAGTGTGTTTGCATCAGGTTTTGCCTCCCAGGGAGGTCTTGGTTGCCCACATTTACCTTCCCCCATCACTACCAATAAATAAAAACATTCAGTGCACATCTTACGCTTCCTAAATACATGAGGGGGAAGAACAGCAGGACTTTGATTGTACTGATGTCAAGATCTCCCTGATGATAAATTGTCTCTGCTGACTGGCGGCACAACAGCGGTCTCCACCTCTTAATAGCTGCTACTGAGCCACTCAGGATCTCTCATTCTTCAACTTGGAACTGGATCATCATTCTCTTCTCCTTCCCCAGTAGACTTGCTTTTGTTTTATGACTAGTTTGGGTGCAGAAGAAGATGTAGTACCCAGACTATTTATAAACTGGTGGGATGTGGCCTGGCTTCTCCCTATGGTTCCCTTGTTCCATAGTAGACTCTCCATGCTTACAGGGCTTCAGTCCTAGTGCATTTCCCCCTCAAACACCAAACTGGGTAATAATAAACTACTTGCTTGCGTTTGCTATCAAGACAGCTCTTTGTGAGTTCTAAATGTTCTGTCTAGATTCAAAGAAGCTGGTTTCTTCGTGAGTATTTGGAGTAAGACTTTTCTTGGAAGCTACTGAATATGGATTAGTTTGGATTGTTTCACAGGAAATAAAAAGCAGGCTCTGAGGTGACCACTTCAACACTTAATTGGGTTAGCAAAGAAGTACAAATGAGAGCTTTTTCTTAGGAGGGAAAAGATGTTTATAGCTCCCACCCCCTTAGGTGGTGGATTTTAACCTAAAAGCTAGTCTTGCAATAAGCTTTTAATTTAGGCACCATTACAAGAATCTATTAAGAAGAAAATATCAGGTTGAAAAATTAACACATCATAGGAGTTAATTAGAACTCAGCCTCTCATTAGATGGAAATGGAGATCCCTGTAACTACCCAACAGCTTCCGTACTTCTAGGAGGCTGGACCAAGGAAACACCCAGCCAGAACTCAGGTCAGAGCCTTTAGAGGTGCATGTCTGCACGTTAGGGTAACTGAAGGTCCTATTCACAAATTTCTCTTTTTTTCTCTCTCTCAGATATGCTGTGCAGGCCACAGGATAGATATGGCTCTGCCTAGAACTCCCTCAGGAAAGTGGTTTCATTTTTTTTTTTTTTTTTGTAACAAAGGCAAACATACCATGCCTGTCACCAGGGGCAGTTGTGGATTGTGTAAACCACTCCATGAGAGGGAGGCTGAGGGGCTCCAGGCCATTCAGATGTAGCTCTAAGTTGTGGTCTTTGTTTTCCTTCCACATTCAGACTGAAATGTGATTCCCCTGGCTTTCTTTTTTGGAAAATACCTGTGATGAGTTCCATGCCTAGAAAGAAAAGCTGTTGACAGGAAAAGCTCTGGATGAGGAAGGGGCTTCTTCAAGTGTTTCAAAGGAGATAGTCGCTTCAAACATGCCGAGGCAGGGACGCCAGACCTAGAATACGCGGTCAGGATCATAAAGGGGTCATCTTTAACTATGGATTAGGTGAGTGTTAAGCAGCTTCCTCTGCAAGAGTAATACCATGCACACCAAGTGCAGGGCCAGGCAGACACACAATTGAGTCCTTCTCCACCGCTTACTGTGTGAAGGTAGGCAAACTGCTTGATCTCTCAGAATATATTTTCCCAAGTTATTGTGAGAATTAAACGAAATAATGAATGTAGGTCACAGTACACGGTGTCTTGTCAGGGTTCCATATGAATTCTCTGTTACTGGTTTGGTAATAATATTTATTCACCCATCACTAATGACAGCCCCTTCTGTGGGAGAATCAGGCCCTCCTCCTTGTCCTCAGGGAGTTCACTGCTTTATAAACCATGCACATCTACCTTCAGCACAAAGCTTGGTCCCTCCCCACCTTTCTCTGAGAAAAGGGTCAACTGCACACTAATTCTCCTCGTTGAGCAGCTCAGAATACTGCAGGTCACCCCCCTTTGAATAGCCCTGCAAACTCAATTAACAAAGTTTACCCAAAATTTCCTCTCTGTGCACTGACCACATTGAGTTACTGGTGTTAGTTTATTCTTTATGTCCTCCTTTGTGGTCCTCAAAGATGGGGATCATCTGCTTACTTAATCTATTCATCTGATGTGTTTGTCTCTGCAGCCCAAATGATTAGTGAATCACTTGCTCTGTTCAGCTAATCATTCAGCCATCTCTGCCTTGCATTAGTGAGCACAGGTACACAAAAAATTCAGCCCTATTGCTGGGAACATTGATTTCCACCTGGGAACACTCTCGGGGGAAATAATCTTGCCCTCTGCCTTGCCTTCTGTTGGGCCCTGGTTCGTTCGTCCTATTCTTAACTATTGCTTTTGTTCCAGCCTCAGTTACTCAGTCTTGTTAAGGGACTCATAAAGCTTCCCTCACTGGGTGGTGATGATGATGATCGTAGGCAATGCAGAGTCCACGTGCCCAAGCATCTAGGCACACAGCTGAATACCGAAAAACACTGATTCTTGCCCTCCACCTAGCTGCCAGCGCAAGAAAAGGAAACTTAAAAATACAAAACAGAATATGCGCACCACGTGAATGGCACTGACATTCTTCCAACTCCTATCTAGCCCCTGGCAAGTGCCAGAGAATAAGTTGAAATGGGAGGATACACGCGGCCGCAGAGACGCATTGGCAAGTGCTGGGTAGAAAAATCTTGAACAGAGGGTAGAAATCCCTCACCCACACCCTGGGACCTGGGCTGTGGGAGGTGTCTTTAGCATCAGGCTGACCTCTTCCAGGCCCAGCAAAACAAAACAATAGCCACGTTATTCAGCGTTTATTATGTGCCAAACACTGCTAAATAATTTGTAAGCATTATCTCATTTAACTCTTAAAACACCGGTGTGACGTAGACATGAATTTCCCTCCAAAGTTGGCCAGATGGCTAGTCTCAGGTTCACAAAAGCACAGGAGCTTGACCACAGTCAAATAAGAAAAGGGTTTAGGAATCCACCTGCTCAGATTCACTGGCCGTGCGGAGAGCGGAAAGGCGGACCAGCACACACTGCCTGCGGCGGGGTAGGAGGGTGAGCACAGTTAGACGGGAACCTAGGTTGCCAGATCCCCAGAATACCACGCAGAAGCACGTAAGGAGAAACGGGGAGCAAACTGCAGGGGAGGGGTGCCCCGGAGGCTGGGAACGGGGCGTCCAGGTCGTGGGGCGCCCCTGCCCGCAGGGCCCGGGTCAAGCCTCGCCTCTCCCGCCCTCTCGCCCTCCCAACCTTATTTAGAAACCGTGTCCCCGAGGCAGGAAGGGCGGCGGGCCGAGGAGCACGGAGCGTCCCGGTCTCATTTCCTCTCGAATCCCCCTGTGGAATTCCAGTTCCTACGGCGAGGAAATCGGAGCGCGCGGCCGTCGGGCGCCTCCCCCACTAGGCGGCCCGGGGCGCGGGCGGGCGCCGCGGGGAGGGAGGGGGCGCGCCCGGCGCGGCGGCCTGAGCGCTTCGCCGCGCTCTCATCCTGCAAGCCCCTGCACGGGTGAGGAGCTCGGCGGGGAGCTCGGCGTCTGCTCAAGGTCGCACAGCCGGGCTGGGAGCCGGCCCGCGCGAAGCCGGCCCGCGTTCTTTGTGTGCGCCTCTCCCGGCGCTGGGAGGCGGCCGCGGGCCGCGGTGACAGCTGCAAGGAGACGGCGAGGAAGGAGGCGCGACTGGGCGGCGCTTCTCACCTGGGAGAGGTGGGGGCAGGCCGGCGGGCCAGGGCTCACGGGCTCCGTCGCCGCCCAGCCCTCACCGCCCGGATCCGGGAGCGGGGCCGGGGGCGTCGGGAGCCGGGGG